AAAATGGAAAAAGTTGCATACGTATTTGGATTTCGATTTAAACATAGATTTGCTTGACACTGATTTGCGTGACACTCTATATACTCTATATTCATATACTCTATATTCTGAGGAATTTTTACCATCCGAAAAGAGGAAAAAAAAACCTCTAAAAAAATTCCTTAAAAAAGGGCAGATGTATAGAAACTTTCAAAGAAAGAGTAGTTTTTCAACCGTTCTCTCCAAATTGAAGCCATTGTACCCGTATATAATACCGTCGCTCCTTACCACGACAGGGCAAAAAAATCTACTTTTACTATTTATACATACTTTTTCAGACCTATTTGTGATACTAAAGAAGAGTCCTAAATGGAAAAAAATGTTATCTATTTTGCCTAATCTTATCCATGGAGCCAAGGCAATTCTTCGGAAAAAACTGGGTATTGGACAACGGAATCGTATAAGTGAGATTTGGAGTAAGTGTTTACATAAGTCTCTTGTAGAGGTGTACGAAAAAGATCTTCTTCACACAAATAATGAGTCACCATTCATATCGACACATCTGAGATCACTAAATATTGAGGAGTTCCTGTTTTCAATCCTTTTACTTCTTCTTATTACTGGATATTTAGTTCATACACATCTTTCCTTTGTTTCTCGATTCTCTAATGAGTTACAGACAGAGTTCGAACAGGTCAAATCGTTGATGATTCCATCCTACATCATTGAATTGAAAAAACTTCTGGATAGGTATGGTACATCAGAACAAAAATATTTCTGGTTACAGTATATTTTTCGAATGGCTCTAAAACAATTCGAAAATTTTCGAGAAGAAAGACGAGGTTCGCCTTCTGGCGTCCCAAGGGGTGAAGGTTTTAATCTCATGAAGTTCATAAGGATTCTACCAAATCCCATCAATCGAATCGCGTTTTTGAAAAATACGAGACATTTAAGTCATACAAGTAAAGAAATCTATTCATTGATAAAAAAAAGAAAAAACATGAATAGTGATTGCATTTCTGATGATGCAGATATATCTGATGGATCAGATATATCAGATCCATTGGAGATAGATCTATCTGATCCATCCGATACAGATTATCGATACGATCCATTTGCTGATACATCAGATATATCAGATCCATTGGAGATAGATCTATCTGATCTATCAGATACAGATTATCCATATTATATGGATGGATCTGATATATCAGATCCATTGGAGATGGATCTATCTGATCCATCAGATACAGATTATCCATATTATATAGATGGATCTGATATATCAGATCCATTGGAGATAGATCTATCTGATCTATCAGATACAGAGGAGGATCTATATGGTATATACGATCTAGATGAGATCTATTATCTGGATGGATCAGATAGATCAGATCCATTGGAGACATTGGAGACATCAGATCTAGATGAGATCTATTATCCGGATGGATCAGATAGATCAGATCCATTGGAGACATTGGAGACATCAGATCCAGATTATATAAATGATCCGGATGGATCAGATAGATCAGATCCATTGGAGATATCTGATACATCAGATACAGATATATGTCAGAAGGATAGTGATGATAATAGCAAAATGGATATGCTGGCTAAAATGAACCAATATAGTCATTTATGGGTTCTATGCGAAACTTGCTCTAGCTTAAATTTTAAACAATTTTTAGTAGCCAAACTGAGTATTTGCGAATACTGTGGTGAGCATCTGAAAATGAGAAGTTCAGATAGAATCGAACTTTTGATTGATCCAGGTACTTGGAATCCTATGGATGAAGACATGGTTTCTCTGGATCCCATTAAATTTGATTCGATTGAAAAAATTCCAATTCTTCAATGGGATCCCATTGCATTCGACTTGATTTTCGTGGATCCTCCCGAGGAAGAGGAAGAAGATCAACCTTATATCGATCGTCTTGATTCTTATCAAGAAAAGACAGGATTACCAGAAGCGGTTCAAACAGGCATAGGTCAACTAAATGGTATTCCTTTAGCAATAGCTGTTATGGATTCTGAGTTTATCGCGGGTAGTATGGGATCCGTAGTGGGTGAGAAAATAACTCGGTTGATCGAATATGCTACCAATCAACTTTTACCTCTAATTATAGTCTGTGCTTCCGGAGGAGCGCGTATGCAAGAAGGAAGTTTGAGCTTAATGCAAATGGCTAAAATTTCTTCTGCGTTATATAATTATCAAATAAATAAAAAGTTATTCTATGTAGCGATACTTACATCTCCGACTACTGGTGGGGTAACCGCTAGTTTTGCGATGTTGGGGGATATCGTTATTGCGGAACCAAACGCAACCATTGCATTTGCGGGTAAAAGAGTGATTGAACAATTGTTGAATGTGGAAGTGCCTGAAGGTTCCCAATCGGCGGACCTTTTATTCGACAAGGGAGTATTGGATTCAGTCGTACCACGTCATTTTTTAAAGCAGTTTTTAACGGAGTTATTTCAGTTCCATGGTTTCGTTCCTTTGACTAAAAATTTGGAAGATTGAATAAAAACAATTTTAAACTTAGTTTTACGTTATTTTGCACTAAGAATCTATTTTTTATTTCCGCCTTTTTGTAACTAGTTTGTAGCTAATACCTTATTTTACACTATTTTATTTAAACTAATTTAGACTAAGAATATATTTTTTATTTCTCCTATTTAGTAACTCTGATATATAGACTATGGATCTAAAAGACTTGAAAAGATTTTTGAAAAACCTGTGGATCTGGAAAAAAAGACACTGTAAAAGATTTTTGAAAAACCTGTGGATCTGGAAAAAAAGACACTGTATTATTATTACAGTGACACATATTTTCCTGCATGGAACTTACCTTTTAAGTATATTAAAAGTAATAGTTCTTCTCCTAGAAAGAAGCCGCCCGTATCCGCCACACATCCTGGTGGATTTATTTATTTTATGTTTTGCGGCCTTTCTTTTTAGGAATATCTTTTTCGTTTTGTTTTTTTATTTCCTTAGAACAATTTTGGATTATTTACTTCAAATGATCCGTGAATTCATTAAGGACGAGACAAACAAAAAAGTTTTATGTTCCTATGTGTCAGAAACTACTTGGATGGACACTATCCCGGGTTTCCAACACGTTTTTTTTCGAATTTTAAGTCATGTCAGTTTTTTCGTGGGATTCTTTTCTCTCTATCGTTTCTATAGCAATCTTACTCGGATGAACATTTTCGATGCACCGATTAAATGGCTCTTTGTGCTACCAAATAAGATTGTTTCTCTGCTTATCACTGCAATTGTCAGTATCCTAAGCGGTATCATGTTTCAATATATTAATTATTGGACTGTAATTGGCGGAACTAATTTTTTCGATAAAAGAAAAGGAGTGCTATATATTACTCGTTACAGACTTCCTATTCCTGGAATAAGTAGCTCTAATGTTCGCCGCATTTTAATAAAAGAAATTTCGTGCCTCATACTAGTAACTAACCGAATCTGGGGTGATGTCCTTTATATTGAAACCAGAAAACACGGGACCTTGCCGATGACTCCTACTAAAGATGGTCGTAGATATATGCTTGCAAAACATGCTTTGGAGTTGTCCAGATTCTTGAATATACCATTGGACATTATTTACAAAGAATACTAATAAAAAAGCGAGTTTAGCCGATCGAGTTTAGCCTATAAAGCGAGTTTAGCCTATAATAATTAATATATTATAGGCTAAACTCGCTTTTTTATTAGTATTTACTTGTAATAGAACTTATGCTTGATAGAAATATTAGAATATATAGAATATTCTAGAGTTGAAAAATGAGATGAAACTGAGGACGAAAAATGGCAAAAAAGAAAGCATTCATTCCCCTTCTATGTCTTACATCTATAGTCTTTTTGCCCTGGTGCATCTCTTTTACATTTAAGAAAAGTCTGGAATCTTGGATTACTAATTGGTGGAATACGAAAGAATCCGAAATTTTCTTGAATACTATTCAAGAAAAAACTATTGTAAAGAAATTCCTAGAGTTCGAGGAACTGTTCCTCTTGGATGAAATGCTAAAGGAATACCCGGAAACACATTTACAAAACCTTCGTATCGAAATCTACAAAGCGACCATCCAATTGATTCAGACGAACAACGAAGATAATATCCATACGATTTTTCATTTCTTTACAAATATAATATGTTTCCTTATTCTAAGTGTTTATTCTATTAGGGGTAATCAAGAACTCATTATTCTTAACTCTTGGGTTCAAGAATTTGTATATAACTTAAGTGACACAATAAAAGCTTTTTCTATTCTTTTCTTAATTGATTTCTCTGTAGGATACCATTCGACTGGTCTTTGGGAACTAATGATTTGGTCTGTCTATAAAGATTTTGGATTTACTCCGAATGATCATATTATATCTTTTCTTGTTTCTATTTTGCCAGCCATTTTAAATATTATTTTTAAATACTGGATTTTCCGTTATTTAAATTGTGTATCTCCGTCGCTTTTATCGATTTATGATTCAATTCCATTCCGTGAATGACTGAAAAAAGGACCCACTGATCCAATTCTAAAATTTGTTTAGCTTTTATATAAAAGCTAAACATTCCAAATTTCACTTATTCATTTTCGTTTTACTCGTATTCTTCCTATATTATAGGCAAATAATTGGAGTAAATAGCAGAATCATGGATAGGGAACTGTGCCAGTTCCCTACCTAATCTTATTGTAGAAATTTTCAGGATCAAGGATTGGACCATGCAAACTAGAAATGCTTTTTCTTGGATAAAGAAAGAGATTACCCGATCTATTTCCGTATTGCTCATGATCCATATAATAACTCGAGCACCCATTTCAAATGCATATCCCATTTTTGCCCAACAAGGTTATGAAAATCCTCGAGAAGCTACCGGCCGGATTGTATGTGCTAATTGCCATTTAGCTAATAAGCCCGTAGATATTGAGGTTCCACAAGCGGTACTTCCCGATACTGTATTTGAAGCAGTTGTGCGAATTCCTTATGATATGCAAGTGAAACAAGTTCTTGCTAATGGTAAAAAGGGGGCTTTGAATGTAGGAGCTATTCTTATTTTACCAGAGGGTTTTGAATTGGCCCCTCCTCATCGTCTTTCGCCCGAGATTAAAGAAAAGATGGGTAATTTGTCTTTTCAAAGCTATCGTCCCACAAAAAAAAATATTCTTGTGATAGGCCCCGTTCCTGGGAAAAAATATAGTGAAATTACCTTTCCTATTCTTTCTCCAGATCCTGCTACTAAGAGAGATGTTTACTTCTTAAAATATCCTCTATACGTAGGCGGGAACAGGGGAAGGGGTCAGATTTATCCCGACGGAAGCAAAAGTAATAATAATGTTTATAATGCTACAGCAACAGGTGTAGTAAACAAAATAATACGAAAAGAAAAAGGTGGATACGAAATAACGATAGTAGATGCATCAGATGGACGTGAAGTGATTGATATTCTACCGCCAGGACCAGAACTTCTTGTTTCAGAGGGTGAATCTATCAAACTTGATCAACCATTAACGAGTAATCCTAATGTGGGTGGATTTGGTCAGGGGGATGCAGAAATAGTGCTTCAAGATCCATTACGTGTCCAAGGTCTCTTGCTCTTAGTTTACTCCCATTAAAGATGCTCTAAGTAAAACTAATATTTTTTTAAAATATTAAGTTTGAAAAAACTAAAAAAAAAAACACCTTAAAAATAATTAATTAAATAGAAAAAATAAGGATTAAAAATTTCAGTCTAATTTTATAAATATCAATAATTATGAAAACTATAAAAATATATTAAAATAAGGCTAATATGTACTAAAATTATTTTTAAAAAAAGAATTTTGAATTCTAAACTTAAAATGAATAAAAAATATTTTTTGGTAAAATTTAAACAATATATTATTTTTAGAAAACATTTTCTTAAGTTTTCGTTAAGTTTTTTTCTTTCTGATAAGTCTTTTGTTAAGTTATTCAATAAAACAAAAACAATCATTGTGAAAAATTAATTTAAAATAGGTTTGTTTTTATATTATATATAGTATTTGTTTCTTATAATTAATAAATGAATTTGTTAAACCAGTTGCTCATGCTCGTGTTTATTATCCGAAAGTTCCTGAATTTGATTCTCGAAATGCCACATTTTTATCACATAATTTTTTCACATGTTTTATAATTTCTTTTCTAAATTTTATACTTTTTATCAAATTACACGTTGAAGTATTACACACAAATTATACCACAAGCTTATATTTTTAATTTTTCTAATTTTTACAACAACAAAAACAATTAAATAAAAAAATATTCTTAAAAAAATAACTAAAAGCCCAATTAATATAGTAACATTTGAATTTATTTTTTATCCAAATAATCCAATTTTTCAGAGAAAAAAAAAACTCAAAATACCCCACTTTTTAAAAATATTTTCAAAGTACCCCAGTTAGAGTTTTTGAGTACCCAAGGGCGTCATTCCAATTGGCGACCCTTTGTTAAGGGCATAAAGGTGTCGCCAATTGGATTGGAGACACCTCATGCAATCTCCAATCCAATTGGCACCTGTGTTATAGCCTCATAAGGGAGTCATCAATTCATCTGGAGACTCCTTAGAAACTGATTTTTTTTATAAATATAGGTGTTCTGATCATTTACTTTCACATCTCATGTCATATCTTTGTTCTACTGATAACATGTATCGTCCCCGATGGGGAAATTCATTTATTCGAAAGAGAAGCCTCTGATGGACATGTTGTTTTGGAACATACAAAGTTTCAACCAACTTAAGACGAAGCTGAATCGGTGATTGGAAGGAGACATTAGTGAAGGGGGGAAAATCTATAGTATCGAGACTTGATCGGCTGCGTGGATGGGTTCGTGTTAAGACCGAAAAAGATGCGAGGGAAGTCATGTTTGGACCGAATGAAGTTAGTTTGATTGTTGTAATCAATTAGGGATGTTGTAATCACCTAGTTAATGTTTTATGTTTTATGAAATTAGTATGTGTTGTGTGTTGTTAGTGTTGTTTGTTGTTAAGACCTTTATAACAAAGACTCATCAATATATGAAAATATTTGGTTACAACAAATGAAACGATAAGCTAAATCATGATGCAGATGTTCCTCCGACGTTTGGACAATTTTTTCGGTTGTGTCCGGGTTGACGACATATATTGTACAATCTTATCATTTTATCAGCAGTATCCATTTCGGTTCTTATACGCTTGCTATTTGAGTGTCCCTTTTCCTTTCTTCTCATCTCATTGTTGTGCCAAACTATGTCACCTTGGTATGGATGCCAATAATCCTTCATTGGTAGCACTGTGAAGCCTTCATTGTATATGTTCATAACATCAATCGCCTTGTAAACATCAAATAGATAGCCATAAGCATCCTAACGAGCATGTGCGCATGCCGCAATGGCATGTGAGCAAGGTACACCGAAGGCCTTATTCGTGCCACAGTCACACCAACATTTGTTTAGTATGACAACATAGGATAAATTGGGCCTCCCCTCATTATGGTCCATTGTTTCTTGTACACTGA